GATTGTCTACAACTAGCAAGGTAGTAAATCAAAAGAGGAATCCATAAATAAGAACATCGTTTTGTCCATTCCTCAGGGACGAAGATTCGTAGGTTGTAAACTTGTAACATAAGATTCTCACAAGCGATTTTTCTCTAAAAAATCGTTACTACCTATTGCTGCTTGAATATGCTCACACAAGATTTTAATATAGAAAATCACATCTAACCTCTCGTGATTTTAAACTAAAAATTCACGTATAACCAAGTGGTGAGCCCTATTTAATTATATATCACTCCGCTCAAATATGGTTTCAACAAATAAAAAAAAAAGGGGGCGGGAGGGGAAGGGTGGGGAAGGGGGGGGGAAGGGAGGGGAACAACATTTAATTCATTGAGAAGTTTCGTGATCCGAGATGGAAATGGGGTTTAGTAGAGCACGAGGTTATGGATCCCAGTTGTTCTACTTGGGTGTAATGTGCTATACCTTATTTGATGGATTAAGGGTAGTAGTGTACACTAGACCTTTCAATAACCAGATAAACATGATGAATGGCAGTGGTACTTCTAAAATAGCAGGAGCTGGGAACAAACTCAAACAACAGAAGAGGATGCCTGGAGGCAGAAGGGAGGATGGGTTTATTCAGGGTTCATCCGGACATAAGATAGATCCGGGGGAAATGCTGCCAAGAGAAAGGGATGGACAGCAGGGATATCAAAAGGATGACTTGGCAAATCCATAACTGAACCAGCAACGCCCTATAGAGGGATACAAAAAAAGGAGTTGACAAATCCACAGCTGAACCAGTAGCGTCCCATAGACCGTGGATTTTCAGGGCCACAATAGAGGACTAATTTACAAAATCCTCCAGAGAAGGATGAGTCTCTAGGGGACATGGTGATGTAGAGTTCATGAGAAACGTTGACAGGAAAGTAAAAAAACACTGAAAAGGTCTAAGGAAATAATGATCCCTCATTTGTGACTCAGAGAACTCCGACGCAGTCAGATCTTTTGACAATATCGAACAAGACTACCCCTCTTTCGTGGGCTCACAAGGTAAAGACAAATGTTGCAAAACAAAATGTTGAATATCAATAGACCATCAACAAAACCACATGATCCCTAATTAACTCAAAGTCCCGCTGTGTAATTTGTCATCGGCTTACACTTACTTTCTCTTCCTTTTCCTACTTCCATTTGAACAATTAGTCATCGATCAAGGTGGACGAAAGACTCTTATGAAAGTCTAGCACAAGGAGACGAGGTATATACTAAACACACTAGTAATTGAATATTTTACGATGACTGCGTGAACAAATCAATGAATGATAAAGTTAAATTGATTTGCAAAAATTTGAAAGCAATGAACTTGAATGAAGGATGAATCCGAATCAGTCCTTGAGTTATTTCTCATTCACCGATCCATTGAACATTTTCACAATTCTCTGCTTGTTTGATCATGATAAACAACAGCGGGATTCATCGAAAAAGTTGCATTGGGACAAATCAGAGGTAAGAATATATCCGTGGCTACCCAAGAGTATCGGAACGGAAGAAAGAGGAGAACAACTAATGAAGCGTTTTTATTGGGTAGAAGTGTGCCACATCTCGATAAAAGTACAAGCTCTTTTTATTCACGATTTAGGTCAACAATATAAAATTGATAATTTCATCGATCCCCTACCCACCTTTGTCATTGAGCGTGATGATAATCTCATGCTTGTGATGAATTTGCCGAAGGATCAACCGTTCTTGCTATACGACATTATCCCCTTTAAGATGGGGGCGAGGGGGTACCAAATTCATACGACACACAAGTTTCGGTCGTGTTGTTTCAAGTGCAAGGTGTATGGACACCTTGGCACAAAGCCTGCTTGTCCATTGCAACCCCAACACGCCCTCCTCCCAAAACAAAAGTTCAAAAAGGACCCCTAGAGACCATACAGATGGATTCCAGTGGTCCCTGGGTATGAGGGATGGGTGTATGTTGATGACCTCAATCAACTGGGTCATCGAATAGGTTGGTTCTGGGAAGGAAGAGGAGACTATCATAAATCTCTCCGTCCCCCAACAAAGTGACTCCCTCCTCTGCAGTCTCAACAACCCTTCCCCTCACGCCAAGCTCGGGATGGAAAAGGGGGACTAGTAGGACGTACCAAATCACTTATAGGGGCACAATCCATGAAAGCAACAAAACGAGCAGGATCCGTTGGTATTTCTAGGTCAATGGACTCATTTGGGATTTGAGGGTCACAAAAGGAATTGCAAGGAAATGAGGAGGGAGAAGGGAGATCAAGGCAATTGAGGCCGCAAAGAACGTGGGAAGGGCAGAGAAAGGGTATGGTAAGCTAAGAGTCAACATGTACTATCCTGAGCACAGAGGCATGGAATGATATTTGAGGAAAGAAACAAGGTATGAGAGGAGTCAAACCAATTGGTCCATCAACATAATTGCAATGAACCTAAATCGTGAAAACAGTTATCAACAATGCAAGTCCAGATGAATGTCAACAGCTGATGAGTACCAATAATCAAGATCGTGTCCAGACAGAATGAGACGAGATAATCATACACAGAAGAAGAAGAGAGGAGGGATATGCCCACTTCTCCTTCAGACTCCCTCCTCCAACAATTCAATAATAGACAGTCTGAACGAGTATCTGAAGTAACCTCAATGTACCACGTGGCACGTCTTATTAGTCCCTCATCAGCTCTGGAGCAATGTCAACATGAAGACAACCAGGTACGTATTCACGATCTCTCCACAGTCTCGATCTTCCTCTTCCCTCGCAATCAGTCACCTCATATAGACAGCGTGGACAACGCCACGTCAGCAATCAAGACAGGTGGCAATGCCAAATCATCAATGAAGACCAATAGCAGCGCCACATAGACCAGAGGCAGCGCCACATATACCAGAGGCAGCACCACATCAGCATGCCACGTAGACCATAGGCAGTGCCACATATACCAGAGGCAGCGCCACGTCAGCATACCACGTAGACCATAGGCAGCACCACATATACCAGAGGCAGCGCCACGTCAGCATGCCACGTAGACCACATGCAGCGCCACATATACCAGAGGCAGCGCCACGTCAGCATGCCACGTAGACCACAGGCAGCGCCACATATACCAGAGGCAGCGCCACATCAGCATGCCTGGCGTACGTTGCCAGCGTCGCCTCTCCCTCGTGTCGTCGTCCGCAGCTTTGATGCACAGCCAGCGTCGCGCTAGCATAATGCGAGCGTCGAGTCAAAGTCAAGCCAGCGTTGAACCAGCATAGCAAGACTGAATGCTGACCACCTCGAGGCCAGACTTTAAGTAGTGTTTGACGAGGCTCTCTGGCCTCGAGTCTACTCCCTTCAGTCGTCCAGATTGAGTCACAGCCGAAGGCTTGGATTGTACAGTTGCAGAATTTCCCCTTGGACTTGATGCTGTCTGGGTACCTGCATACAAACAAGTGTGCGTGCTTGACCGGTGGCCTAGACTGGGTACCTTTGGACTTTGACTGTTGGGGTTGCGACACTTGACAAAAGTCAACTGTGGCACGCCCAGGCCCTGAATCCCTGTGTGGGGTCCCTTACCTTATTTTTGGCCTGGCTGAGGGCAGCCAGGTCGGCCCTCAGATTTCCACGAAGCATATGGCATGGGATATTGCATAATCTTACCTCCCCAAAAATAGTATTATAGTAGACCTTAGGCTACTAAATGGAGGGGAGTAAAGTGGAAAGGGGAAGCCAGAAGAAATGGTAAAGAACCTTTAATAGAACATGGGAACACTCATGATAAGTTCCAACAAACCAAAGAAGAAAAGAAAGAAAAGGAAGAAAAGGAAGAGAAGGAAGAGAGGGAGGAAAAGTAAGTGAAAGAAGATAAGAAAGGAAGAGGGGAGGAGGGGCAGGCGACAATTGGGCCATCAAGTATTCACGAAAAAGATTCTGACCCAATAAGCAGTGACCCCTTCAAAGACGCCTTTGGACAAGATCCAATGGAAGTAGAACAAACCCCAGTTGCAGTGACCTCTCTCACTTCACAATGAAAACCCTCCGGTGGCACCAGACTTGCATATGGAGTTTCAGAAACGTGCTGACTGGCTGCTGCTGAACCTCAAACTCAAATATCAGGGTTTGGATAGCATAGTGTGGCGGAATATTTACTGTCAGCTCATGCCTATGTTGGCCAACAACGACAGTGTAAAGATAGTCATGCAGTATGGTCCGCCGCAGGGAATTGACTGAGCTTCTATCTGTAATAAATTATTATTTATTATTGTCACTCGTTTCCAGTGTCTGCAAGAGCCGACCGATGTCCCAAATCTGGGTACCGGGCTCTCCAAGCGGGGAAAATTACCAGACACAGGAAACAGGAGAAGAGGCCCTGGGCCTGGCACTGCTGGCAGAGCACACCGAACGTGCTCCTCCCACACGAGTGCTGCTTTCGAGGGATGCCAGCCCCCTTCCGTTAGCAAACCCAACCCGAATTTTTTTTGTCGCCCACCGCACATCCGAATTTTTTTTGTCGTGCACCGCGCATCTGGACAGGAGTTCTGTTATGAAACCCACTCACATATCGTCCCATTGTGGAAGTGGATCGGAGTTGAAGCACAATGCTTCTGGATAGGAGTGTGCATCAGCTACCTGAAAGCGGACAGGGGTGATCTCATACTTCTGCCGACGTGGCCGCGTTTTGGGAGCCCCTTAGGAGTACAACATCTCCCGCTCGGGTGTCACCCAGCCATGTGGCCGGACCATGCTACACCGCGTCGTAACGATGATAATCGAAGCGGCCAGGTTGTCAGTGCTCGCCGATTGCTGATATCCAGTGTTGAGGCAGAAGTTCGAACGTGCCCGCGTTTTCGTCACGTGCATTACCTGGAGAGCAGTTCTTCTGGCAAGTGGCAGAGCAGTTCGAATTCAGAATCCAACAGCTGTTGTTGTGCAGTCCAATCCTTCGCTCTTACCAGGCGCTGCGTTTCCGTTCCGTGGAGCTCAGCATCGTCGTCCCATCAAGAGCAACGTCTAATCACAACTTCGTTAAAGGTATGGACCACTCTTGACACCTTGTGCAACGGCGATCACCATCCCCGTCACCGCATGGATACAGGTTCCAGGAAGTCCCGCCATCCACCCCAGGCGTTGGCAGTCCGGCGCTGGTTGGATTGTCCGCCACAACAGGATCATCGGCCATGTCGCGCGTCGCTACGGCCCTCCGGAGCGGTTTGCCACCTTTACCAAATTTCAAATACTTGCACACTTCTATCTACAGTCCAGGGAAAGAGTCTCACACCATGACCTCTCTCCTTGCGGAAGGTGAGAGTTTTGGACCACCGCTGCCAGGAGGACTGGGAAGATTGAATGCTGGCGTTCAATCAGCATATCCGGCAAGGGGAATGGCACGTGAAGGTGGGTATGTGCATGATGGCCATGGTACGGGGGCCAGTGTTGAACGACCACATACAACTCCTCCAACACTGTCCACATACTCCATGTCGGCGGGAGGGGGGGGTTGTCCATTTGCCATCTTTCGCACCAGCGCCAGTGCCAGCGAACTCCATGTTCGGGAGAGGGGGGGGGGTGTCCATTCGCCATCTTTCGCACAAGCACCGGCAATCTCCATGTCGGGGGGAGGGGGGGATGGTGTCCATTTGCCATCTTTCGCACCAGCGCCAGCGAACATCACCCACGTTCGACCGCAGTTTATGTACTCTTCCGACAACAGACTATACCGTGCTTTTGCACCTTTGGCAGGGGCGGCCATCTCTGCCACGACTGGTGATGTCCAGACGGGAAGCCATTGTCATGACTATGATGATGGAGGAGATCCCATCATCGACGCCGGCATGGGTGACGCTTTCGCCGAACCCACTGTTGACATTACGGGGACCCAAGGTGGAGGACGTGCGACTTTACACATCGACGACGACGAAGGGGCTACGCAGTCTGATGATGTCGTTCCATGGTCGGATCGTGTGAAAAGGTCTGCACGGGCGGAGGGGGGAGGTCGTGGGGGACAAGACAAGGGCAAGGCGAGAGTTCGGGGTCCCGACTGGACAAAGAAGGAGAGCATGGGACTGGTGAGGATGTTGTTCGAGGAAGACTGTGTGCAGCAAAGCAGGCGGGGGAGGCAGAAGATCAGGGGGAGACGGGAGAAGTATGATTGGCTTATTGGGAAAATGGTGGAGCAAGGATTCCCCAAACGCACCATGGAGGACTGCGAGTCGAAGTTCTATGGCCTTCTCGACAAAGGGAAAAAGATCCGCGATTACACCGACAAATCTGGCAAGCCGAGCTACTCGGACATGTCACGTTCAGAGAAAAAGGAGGCGGGCCTTCCATTGGCGTACGAGAAAAAGATGTTTGATGCCCTGCAATTGAAGCTTGGGAAGGCGCATGGCTCGTGCGAGGGCATGATGCACAATGTGAATTTGCAGGGAGGGCAGACCAGCACGGTGACAGATGATGATGAAACCGGTGGCGGCAACGAGAGTGGAGGGAGTCAGCGAAAAGCAGACAGCGACAGTGCTGACGAGGCGAAGTTTAGGAGAACCGGGAGAGGGAGCAGCCACAACCGGCGATCGGCGCCAGAGAGTTCGAGTGACGCTTCGAGGAAAGGTTCGTTCGCTGACATAGAACGTGCTCTTGTCGAAGCGAATGACCATCATGCTGACAAGATCGCGGGGAGTTTTGTACAGGCCATGGATGGGATGAACAAGACCATGGCAGAAGGTAACAGCACGCTGTTGCAATGCTTCACGATGCTTTCTGGTGCAATGGCGGGACACCCTGCATTCGTTCCTCCAGGGGCCAACACACAGCGCGATGGGGATGGTGACACGTACGACGGCCGACAGATTTGATGTCACGTGTTTGGTGGCCATGTCGTCTTTGTGATCAGACCACAAAGATCCTCGGCATGTACTGTGTGGTTGTGTGCGTTTGTGTGAATTTCAAAGTTTTTTTTTTTTTTCTTTATCCCGTGGAGTGATGGGATACACCACACGGGTTCGCAGGTGCGGAAGTTCGATCTGGCGCCTGTCCATCTGCGTGTCGCTTTCCTGACTGCTTTGTTGCAGGATTCCTGAAAGGGAGCGTGCACGCGTCGTGGCGACATGTCGTCTTCTCCGCTGCGCGTGTTGGCGAGGTTGTAGACATGACGGGCGATTTCGCGCTCACCCACAGGTGCCTCATCGAACAGCTTGAAGCGCATGAGCTTGCACGGAAGCGGGGTGTGTTGTTCGCGCGCGTGTCGAGTATGGTGGACAAGCTGCAGCAACTATAGGGCGAGCTGGAGAAGGCAAACATGAGGAAAGGTGTGGCCGTGTCAAGGGCCGAAGCTGCGGAGCGATCTGCTGCTGTCCTGAGGCAGGAAGAGTTGCGCCTGCAGCAGCAATTAGTGCTTTATGAAGGGGGTTCTGAGCATAGCCCCGGAGAGCCTGACAGTTTCATCACAACTGTGCAGCGCCCCGGCTGCAGGTGAGGAGGAACCGTCGCTAGTGTCACAGTTTCGGTGGGTCACATGCAACGTGACTCCACTCAACGCACACCTAAAGGCGGGTGTCCGCCGACAGCAGGTCACCGGACACCAACCGCCGTGACGTCACGGCGGTCGCTGATCAGTTGAGTAGAGCCATGTGTATGGAGGGTAATTCCGTGAGCGGCCCCGGTAGTGCTGTGTTCGGGGTAGTGTTTTTTTTTTTTTTTT